CTTTAGCACCTCTTCAAAGACTCTATTTCCAAATACAGTCACATTCTGAGGTACTGGGGGTTGAGATGTCAAAATATGAATTTTGAAAAGAGGCAGTTCAGATATCCACACTTAGACACAGGAAAAAAGAACCCATAACAAATACAAATAAATAAGTCCACACATATTATGTATTATAACTAATATGAATAAGTAAAATTCTCCAGTGAAAAGTCAGAAAGTCTTTTATTGGATTTTAAAAAATTGAATCTAGCATTGTGATGTTTGCAAGAGACACATCAGGAATAAAAAGCCTAAGAGATAGGCAAAATGTGCCACCAAACTACAAAAAAGCAAAACTGCTGATCATAATGGGAAAAATGGAATTCAAGGTAAAGAGCATTAGATGAGCCAAAGAAGGATTTTTTAAAAGACATTATGTTTTGAATAAAAGTTTTATTTCATCCAGAAGATATAGTAGTTATAAGCACTTATATAGCTACATATCATCAAAATATATGAATCAAGTTTTTAAATTAAAAAATAAGTTGGCCAAACCAAAATCACAATAGATATGTTAAATAAAATTCTATCAAAAATTGTCAGTTTTAGTGGATAAGAAATAAGGACAGAGAAGATCTAGATAGCATAATTAAATATTTAATAGGTAAATGTAGAATTTTTAACATTCTTTAAAATAACTCTTTAGTAAATAGGAACTAAAAACTGATATTAATGAGCTATTAGACATGAACATCAATAATATCACATATTAAAACATGAATAATAAAATAGATCTAAAGAAGAAGTACAGAATAAAGATAGAGACTGAAATTAATGACATATGCACCTAAAGAGACAATCAATAAAAACAAACTGATTCTTTTAAGAAAACCAAAAAAAAAAAAAAATTTGGAAAGTATGATTAAGAACTTTAAAAAGAACACAAATAACATTAGGACAAGAAAAAAAGACAAAGCTACAGATAAAGATAAGGTGCCTTAGATTATAATATGTTAACTAATAGTTAATATTAATATACTTTAAATTAATATACTTTATATTAATATACTTTATATAAGTGAATGGGTAGTTTTCCAGGAATTGTTAAGTACCAAAATTAACTCCAAAAGCCCAGGAAAAAAAAAACTGAATAGACCAATATCCACAGAAGAATTAAGAAAGTAGATATCAAACCCCCAAATTAAAAAAAAAAAAAGGAAGAGGAACTCCCACCTTTTTGTGTGTCTATTCTACAAAACAATCAGAAATATAATTGCTGTGTCATTTAAAATGTCAAAGCATTTTACGAAGGTGGAAAATTTCCCAATTAATTCCATGAAGCCAGCATAATGCTGGCACCAAAATCATACAAGGGTGATGCAAACAAACTTTTTTTTTAAGTTTATAAAAAGTTTATTTAAAAAAATTCTGCATGAATGTGGGGATAAAACTCCAAAACAAATTATTAGTATATAGAATCCAGCTGTTTATTTAAAAACTAGTATTTTAAAATCAACATGTTAAGAAAAAATTAAAGCAAATTCATATCTTAAAATGCCATAAAGCAGACTGGTGTGCATCAGTGGGTGCTGTGTCAGTGTGGAGAAAGTCTGGAAGGAACCACAAGGAACTATTTACAAGGCTCTAAGGGAGGATGGAAGGTCAAGGTTGGAAGAGAACTGGAGGAGAACTTCATTATTCCATATCCTCTGTAATGTTCTGATATTTGACATTTATGAATCCATTGATATCTACCATAGATTCATAGAGAAAAAATTTAGAGTTTAATAACGGGATCGATTGCAAAAGGTCATTCCAGAGCCAGAGGAAAACTCTGGAGCTTCACATCCATGTCTTTTTTTTTTTTTTTAAGATTTTATTTATTTTTAGAGAGAGGGGAAGGGAGAGAAATATCAACGAGTGGTTGCTTCTCATGTGCCGCATACTGGGGACCTGGGCCACAACCCGGGCATGTGCCCTGACTGGGAATGGAACCGGCAACCCTTTCATTCTCAGGTGGGCACTCAATCCACTGAGCCACACCAGCCAGGGCACATCCATGTCTTTGAAAAGCAGGCTGAGGAGGACTCTCAAGCTGCCAATAAACAGAGATGTTCTTCCACAGGTGTCCCACAGCCCAGGCGCAGCAGTGAATGTGGTAGTCACCAAACTCAAACAGCTCAGCACTGCAACTGTCAAATGAACAGGCGAGTGGGAGTCCATCCCACCACGAGGACCCTGAGGCCCAGACGGACTATAGAAGTTAGAGATGGCGTTCTCTTGCCACATTCTTTTCTCTGGATGCATACATTCTCATTACACACTTTTTAAATTGATTGCATTTACTTAAGGTTACCTCATCCATGTGCTTGCTACTGTACATAATGATTAGTAATCTAACTTAAAACCAACTTGTTGGTAGTATTATAGCAACACAACAACATTTGTTCTGTAAGGCAAAGGGACAAAATCTAAGTATATCATGAGTAAATATAAATATATAAGTACTGGCAGTTTACTTATGTGGGATATCCTGCCTCTATAGTGCATCATTAAGATGTAAATAGAAACAACCCTTTTTCTCTGACAACTTTATATAGGCTGTCTGAGTTAGAAATACCTCGTTTACAAACACGTGTACAAATGAGCAGCTTGCTGTCCAGGGTCTCTCTAGCCTCAGCCATATTCAGACCTTTGATCTTAATCCCAAAGGGTAGACAAGGGGTCTTAAATTTATGTTGCCACCTAGTGGTTGAAAACTGATAAATTAGAAAGAAAGCCTCTCAGTTCACCTTCTTTGATACTTGTTTACAGCTAGTTTTTTCTAAATTCCAGTAGCTATGTCACTACCTGAAGCCTGGGTTACCAAATTATTGTTCACTTCTAAAATGGCTAGTTATCATATCTAAGGAGAGTAAGTTTTCCACTTCATGAGACAAATGGGGCAGTTGGGGGTCATTTGGTTTTACATGTTGTATAAAGAGTTCTTGTTGGGTTTGGCTATAATTTATTAGCTTATAAAAAGGTAAGACATTTTATGGATTTTTCTAAATAGATTCCCTATTATCTGTTCTTTGATAGGTAATCAAGCAGTAATAAACACATTTCTCAAGTTGTACCTGAGAATTTCTACAAGCTGAGATGAAGTGATGTTTTTTTAATAAAAATGAAAAAGCTGAGTTTTCACTTTCAGGGTTAAAAATGTTTTAAATTTTCTCACAGTTGTAAAACAACTATAGATGGCTTCCTTTGCACTCCTGGGGAGCTGACAGGGCCCTGATGGCAGTGTTTTCCAGCCAGGTGTCAAGTGATCCGTCCCTCAGAAACAATCATATCACCCAGCAGAAGTGTCTTCCTCAGCCAAGAATTATACCGGGTCAGGTAGGAGAGGCCAGGGCCTGATGACGCCAGGAGAGCAAAGGTCAGCATATTGTGGACCAGAAATGAAAAAGAGAAAAGATGCAATTATATTTAAAATCTAAAGGTCATATTTGGAGTTACATTACAGTGACTTGATGGTTTTTTCTTTCTCTCTACTTCCTTTCATTCTTTCCAGAAAAAGATAGTGAAAGGTTCTTTTGTGTGACTTTGAGGAAACCAAAGCTACAAAGCCAGATAAGGGTAGTAGTGCCTGAAACATACTGCATTATCATCAGCAAGCCAAAGACCTTTTAATTCATAGGCCTAACAAAGGTATAGTAGGATCATTTGAAATAACAAAGCGAAAGAAATTGGAAATGGACATATAGCCCTAAAGAATCAATGTCCAGAGAATCTGGTAACCTCCTCAATGTCCTAATTATTCACGTTACCTCACTTTGGAAACTTTTTGTCTACAGGTGGAAAAGCATGCAAATTGCATCCTCTTTCTGCTACACCTTTCAGGCTAGAGAGAGAAGTTGTAAGGGGACAGCTAGAGTTTCTGTTTGTGCTTTATATATATAAGATTTTAATGATATACTACTTTACCTTCAGTCATTATACAATGCCATAGAGGATTATGAAATATATTGATCCCTGTTGTTCTTTCTTTATTTTTTTCCTAAATTTTTTCTAGAAACCAAGAATTCTCAGTGCTCTCCTTTGATAAGATCATTCTCCAATGATCTCATTTGATAATGCCAACCCATTAATAAATATTTAATGTGTCTACTCCATGCAAAACACACTGACAACTGTGACTATGATACACTAGAGTGTGCCTCCCAACCCGTCCTCATTATGACATACTACAAAACTATAGTACCTGTCTGGCACACCTGAGGAAGAGGTCACTACCAAAGATAATTCCCCAGTGGATAGCATGACACTTCCAGTCTCCTTAGTCAATTCAGGATCTTTACAGAAAGACCCTAAGAGAGTATTCAAATATAATTTCAACTGTGGTAAAATTTTAATGGCTATAAAATTGCTTTAATATTATCCCTTTACAAATCAATCAGCGTCACATGGCACACCTGTAAACAACTGGTGGCCCTCCACTTTGGTCCCACATGCCAGTTGGGAAGCCCTGTAGTAGAGAAATAAGATGTCCCATGAAGATGGGCTTATCTTCACTTGTCCTCAGTGCGGGAAGAATCCAAACCAGGAATGTTCCATAGCGTATGGATTCCATATGTCCTCTCATTGAAAGTCACATTCTTTTTCATCATTAAGTTAAAAAAAAAATCCTGTTTTTTTCCCTCTGTCATCAAGAATTTTCTTTTTTGGTATCTGCTCTGAGGTATTCCTGAGAGTTCTTTTCCTCGTTGCCACTCTGCCTGTGTTTTTGGCCTTTTTCTGCTTAAGGGTGAGTTTTTAATCTTCAAAAGCTGATGAAAAAATAAATGGTTTTAAGGCAGAGAAAAAAAGACCAAGGCAATCAGAGAGTAACACGAACTGGATAACATACCTGTTGGCAAGTCCAAAATTTTGCTCTTTTTCTTAAGTGTAAAGGCAGGTTTTTTTAAAGTAAAAAGATAGAGACGGCTAAATCTTTATTTTTGAAAGGTAAATATCACCATTTTTCTTTCTTACAGTGATAAAGTGATAAGACTTATCCCCACTACAGAAGAGGAAGCATATGCACTGAAGAAAATATGCCACCAGCTTAAGGTAAAAGAGTGTCCACTTCCTGATCATTGTGTTTGTAATTTATTTACAGAGCTTTGCTTGCCGGAGCTAAATAATTGGAATTAATTAGCCAAAGAAAGAAAATTCTATGAGAACTTGAAAGCACTTTTAAAGGGCAGTTAAGTTAGTCAAAGTATTATTATATATCTGACCCATTATCTATATTTACTAGTTTATTTATTTTCCATCTCCCTTACTAGGATGTAAGCTTCATGAGAAAGCTCATGTATTTCTGTTCCTCACTGTATCTTCAGTAATTTCTGGAATATCCTAGAAGCTCAGTAAGTGTGTTGTTTTTTAATGAATGAGTGAATTTAGTTTATAATTTTCCATAGATTCACTTTTCCCTCTTGAAATCTTTCTGCTGATCATCTAGACACTTTTCTTCTAATTAAAACTTCAAGCACAAGTGAGTTGAGGAAAATAAATGCTACAAAATTGAAGTTAATTAATTTTGCTATGTTTCAGTGGGTTTTGATATGAGAATGTTGTTGGCAAAGGCTGAAGGGCTCTGATTGTTCAATCTTTGATGGATTTGATGGATTTTAGAGTTGGAGAGTTTCTCATTCCTCATGACTGCATATAATTGAGTGTTGGCTTTGGCTAAAGAGTTATGATAAGAAGTATGGTGATAGGCTCTTTTCCATGCCTACCTTCCAAGAAGAGAAGTGAGCCCATAAAATGTGCTGGTATATCATTTTCCTGGAAAGCAAAGCAGATTATTAAGGAGGACTTATTCATCACTATGGAATAGAAAAACATGGAGTACAATCCTACCTGGATTGAACTGGAGAAAGTGTTAGGGGATGAAGAATAGGGAGGAGGGATGGACTCAGTGTCTTCTGGAAACATTTGTAATGATCAAACTTTGGGTTCTCTGTTTTTGGTTTGATTTTTCTCTTTGACATCTTCCCTTCAAATATTGAGTTTATTTGCAAATAAAATTTTGAACTCCTAGTTTATTGATTTTCTTTCTTCCTCCTCATTCCCAGTCCTATCCATGCAACATTCAATTTAAGGTTGGTGTCTCATTAGAAGGGCCTGGAGTGAGAATTCAGGAGCTTATCAGCAAAGCGTTATGATTTTTATCCAGTTCCAGAGAGACTAGGCTTTCTGGGCATCTCCCAAACCACCACTCTTCCTCAAAGGAATCTCTTCTCTGGATACTGACATTAACCATCCTCTGGACATGTCTGATCATCAACCCCATTATAACCTTTTCAGCAGCAATATCTGAACACTATCTAAACAATCCACCAGGGCCTCAAAAGGTGCAAACAAGTAAAGCCTGTTTCAGGTAGGAGTTTCCTTCTCCTTTGCAATTGTGTTTTGGATACACCACTGGAAAAATAAAATAGCCACTGTACATCTTGGGGACCAGCATTTGGTTCAATATTCTGAACCAAATATTGGAAAAAATAATTAGGATCATCCCCCCAATTTGTGAATATATTACATGATAAGATTTACAAAGTTATGAAATGGCATCATTATATATGTGATCACTTATCATTATCAAAAGCAATAAAATTACATCAGTGAGGACTGTGGGGTTTACTGACAAACTCTTGTAAATCACAGTGAATAGAACTGAAAGATGTTGACTATAGCTAAGACACTGTGGACACAGGACAACACATTTATAGTGGACCCCTTTTTTGTACACACTTAAAGCATTCCTGCATATTGTATTCATTCAGTCCTGAAGGAAAGGTAATTATGGGGGAAGGAAAAGGTAGGAAATGGTTTGGATGTGGAGGAGCTTAAATGTCCCTGAGAGAGGGGAGGAAAAGGGGTTGGTGAGAAAGAGAGGGAGAGAGCGAAGGGAGAAAGGGAGTTGATATTAGACAGTGCTCTAAGGATTCCACCCCACAGAGAATTGCATCCAAAGTTACAACTAGTCCCTCTTAGTCACTATATGCTGTCACAGTGCCAAGTGCTTCCTAGAAATTGCCTAATTTTAACAACTCTATGATCTGGGTACCATTATTATTGCTATTTTACAGATGAAGAACCTGGGAGAGACAGAGGTTTAGTAACTTGCCCCAGTTCACAGGGTGGAATTAGAACATACACCTAGACAGAGCCAAGCACTCTAGAACCCAGGTGAGGCAGCCTGTGCCGCTATTACCCCTGAAATCTTCAGGATGGGAAGAGTGAAGGCCAAGTTTGCTGGGCAATGGAGCCTAGATGCAGTGTGAACATTATCATGCATTCGTTTACTTTATTTCTGAGTCAGGAACACCACCCCCAGATTCAGTGATTTGCAGGAGAACTATCACAACTTAGCCTATACGCCAACTCACAGCTATGTGCAAAAGGATACAAAGCAAAATCAACAAAGAGAAGAGCACATGGGTTGAAGTCCAGAACAAACCAAACACAAGCTTCCAAGAAATATCTCCCAGTGGAGTCATGTTGGATGTTCTTAACTGCCTCAGCAACAAGCCGTGATAACACATGTGAAAATCTGTGTTCCAGGCAAGCTCACTAGAGACTTAGGGCCCAGGGTTTTTACCAGGGCCTAGTCCGTGTAGACCCCTCAGCCTAGCACATACAAAAATTCCAGGCTCTCAGAAAGAAAGCAGGTGTTCAGCATGAACTATGTTGTTTATACACACACAGTTCAGGCACAGTTAGCCACTCTTCTCAGTTAGAGTGGTAAAAACTCTCCTAAAAATCTAGGTTCCCAGAGGCCAGCTAAAGGCCCACCTTGCAAGCAGGTCTTTCTAAGGATAGAGGTTTTGTGCCTGCTATGTTTACTCTTCTCTGAACATTTCTTCATTTACTTTCACCACTTTACTTTCATTTGAAGAAATGGTTTTATTGGGCTGAAGTTTGAGGCATTGCACTTAAATAAATTTTGATATAAAAGATAAAGTTAACTTGATGTTGTTTTAAATGTAAATGCTTTCATTGAGTGATTCACTTGCACTACTAAAAGTGGCAATTTTGGCCAGCCAGGGGAAGCAGTCTGACGATAAGAAAAATATGACTGCCTGTGACTTCGTGTCCTGTGGAGCTGATGGGACTGAATTAGAGCCATTATTAAAGCTCCTTCACACACCTGTGCACTGCCTCCCAGGGGAAGGGAGGAAGGTTCGTCAGGAAGCCTATAGTTGCCTTTTTTCTTCTGAAGTACAGTGTGGTAGACAGATTTCTAAGATGGCCCCAAGATTTCTTCCCCCTGGTGTGCCCTGTGTAATCCCTCCTCTCAGTGTGGGTGGGAACTGTGAGTAGGATGAGATAGTCATTCTCTTGACATGTTATGTTATGTGGCAGAAGCAAGGTTACCTGGAATGAGCCTGACCTGATCAAGTGAGCCCTTTAAAAGTAGAGAGTTATCCAGTTGTTCACAGAGAAAGAAGTCAGAGAAGTGCTCCTACTAGTCTCAAAGAATAACTCAGTTGGTATGTTGTGAACTTTCCTTGAGAGCTACATAATCAGGAATGCCCATGGCCTCTACAAGGTAAGAGTCAACTCCAGCTCATAGACAGAAAGGAAATGGACGTATCACTTCTACAGCCACAAGGAACTACATTCTGCTATCACCATATGAGCTGGAAAGATGACCCTGAGGTCCAGGTGAAATCACAGCTCAGCTGACCTTTGATTTTGGTGAAGTGAAACCTCTAAGAGAACACTCAGCTAGCTGTGCTGAACCTCTCACCTATAGAACTGTGAGATGATAAGTGGCTGTTGTTTTAAGCTGCTGTGGTTAATTTGCTCTGAAGCAATAGAAAACTAACACAGTAAGTTAACAACCCTACATCTTGGCCTTTGATGACTTTTAGTTCAATAGCATATATGAATGCTTTAAGTTTTCTGATTTCACTCACCAACACCAAAGAGCTCTGGAAAAGTGAAAAGTGGTTAGACTACATGCTTAGGCTGTAAATTCAATGTCTTATCTGAAATATGAACAAATGCAAAATGTATGTGTAACGTTGACAGAATCTGAGGAGTTACAGTCACAGCATAGCTAATTAGATGTGGAATTGTTACAAAGCTAGTTACTTTCCTAATTAAATTTTGTGGTTTTGCTGAAGAAGTAAAACAAGAAAGTTAAACAGAAAACCATACCCCCGGAGAACTGGATTGAGAATGCAATAATCAATTAAATTTTTGATTAAGAGCATAGCCAAGATTTAAATAAAGTTATAACGAAAGGGGAACAGTTTGCAGGTGAGTAAAATTAGAGTCTGAACACTGTTCTGCCCACATTTCTTCATAAATTCTTTGTGCTCTGAAGGAATAGAAAAGTCTTTATGTAAGATCACAGAACAAGTTCTTGTCATAGAATCTACACATCCTTGTTGAAAGAAAAAGAAAAATTAATGATGCTTCTGTTTCCACTTTTCTCATCAGAAAGCTGTATGATTAAAAACAAACTGCCTTGGATTCTAAGGTCTGTCGTTGTTTCAAACTAAAACATAGCCTCAAAATATTAGCTGGCTTGTCAGGTACCATTGAGAGAAAGTTCAAGTCATATGAGGAAGGTTTCAACACTTCTCCTTTGCTTGGCTATGAAGTTTGCTGCTGCCCTTTCCAGGTGTAATCTCCCTCCTCAGCCTTGTGCTGTAGCTGCCTGCCCTCTTCTCTGACCCTCCTTGGTGCGCTTCTGACACCTGTGGTCCCTAGGAGCAGAAAAGCTCAAACATCCAACTGGATGATTTAATTGACTGGGAAACTTGTGAGGAAGAAATGGGTGATAGAATTCATGCTGTGCGAGTCCTTGTCCCCATTTTCATTAGCAACTGATTGTGCTGTTGTAGGATGTCTTAACCATGGTTGTGGCAGTCAGAATTCTAAGGTGGCCTTCAAGATCCTTGGCCCTGGTACACACACACCTTTTCTCAGGTATTTCATCAAACACCAATCTGGTTCCTGCTGTAAAAAAAGTTTTCCTATGTAAATAGAGCCCCCAAATCAATTGACCTTGAAAAAGAAAAATGATCTGGGTGGGCTTGAGCTAATCATGT